GCGTTAAACTGCTTGGTTGATATTCCTCAGATCCAGTGGAATCTCCAATAAAGTTTATTACCAATTCTCCTTGGTTTCTCGAGTGCTGCATTTGGGTTCTCCTTAAGATTGTGACACAAACAAGCCAAAGGTGTCATGATATCACATGTTGCCTGGATAAAGGACCACCAATGTTTCATTTGAAATAATCAGTTGGACTACATGCCGTTTTGAATGTTTGTACAAAATTATTGGGTCTTTAACGTTTTATGGGGAACACAGATGTTATTTGTAGCCATTTGACAGCTGGCCACTAACCAGCTTAGCATTTACAAGCTTACCTCTGACAAGGAATATAAATCACAACGGTGCAGTTTCAGATACGTTTCTGATGAAGCATTCATTTATAGTTTAGTCCACATAGTGTTCAGGCACTCCTCGACTTATACTGGGTACTTCATTTGCCAAGTAACGGGGCATTTGTCCGTAAAGCATTACATTCAGCCAATGTCTGTCTGATGGAAATAGAAGTCAAAGATTATTCACAGTCTCCTGGGTATATCAAGCACACACACTTGATGCAAACAGGTTGTCATGAAGAGTGAACCAGGTGGAGCCAATAGCAGGAGGAAATAGTAAACAGGAGCTTATAGAAGATATTCTTTGGTTTCGGTTTGTGCAGACAAGGATACAATAACAACTGACCTGAAACCTTACTGTACTAAGAAACAAGATGTAGGGTTAGGTTAATATGACAGTCACCCTGTCATTGCTGACAGTGGTACCCTTATTACCGGGGCATCGCCATTGGTAACTTACATACCTGACTTTCTTCAGAGCAGATAATCTTCAAAAAGGGGACTGCTGAATGAAAAGCAACAATCATATTGGAAAAGGCACCAAAAAGGCTCTCTTAGGAGGCCATAACATAACTATTATTTTTGCACAAAACACAAACATGCGTTTTTTTTATGTGATGCATACGTTTTTGTTTTCTTATATTTTGTTCCCCCATTCTTGATAATAGTGATATTACAATTCTTGTTTGTATATTACAATGCAGAGCAATACATTTAGCTGAGTTATCTTCCTTTCGTAACAGGATTTCTCTACCTCCTGTTCAGCTTGGTAGAGAAACTCCCTCTGGAGGGAACCTTTGGATTGTAGTCTTCGCAGACCATTTAGATGCACGAAAACCTATACAGGAAAGGGAAAACCCCAAAAAGCAGAATAGAGTCCCTTTAATCCAGTTTTTATTTTTGCCCTTATTGCCCTAAATGAGGAGGCTACATGCTCAGTGGGCGGGGGATTTCCTCTTCCCGTAAACTTATCAACACAATTACTTTTAGGCGAGCGACTAGTGGTTATTAATTATTAGTCCCATGTGCAGACCACCACTACCATTACAAATATATTTAATAGTTTACCCCTAAAGCTCTCTCTGTGCTCGCTGACACCATCTCATCATCCAGAGCCTCCTGAGAAAACAAGACATGTAATTGGTCTATTTATTCCATTATCCTTTTTCTTCACAATGCATAATTGTGATGCGTAACTTCCCCATTTACTCCCCCATGACAGTTGCGTGGTTGGAAAAAAAAAACAAGAAAAACTTTTCTGAACATTAAGCAGGATAACACTTTATTAATCAATAAAACTTTGCTCTTTGACAAAGAGATACCTCATAGTTATTTTACATAAATAAATGGTGTTCACATCATCTGTAATACCACTGAAGTCATTACTGTACAAACAGATAAATAAGAACTCTGTTAGTGAGATTTATTGGAAATTCAGTTACAGTTGTCCATGTATGTTATGTTTTTGTGTGTTTGTGTGTGTGTGTGTGTGTGTGTGTGTGTGTGTGTGTGTGTGTGTGGTGTGTGTGTGTGTGTGTGTGTGTGTGTGTGTGTGTGTGTGTGTGTGTGTGTGTGTGTGTGGTGTGTGTGTGTGTGTGTGTGTGTGTGTGTGTGTGTGTGTGTGTGTGTGTGTGTGTGTGTGTGTGTGTGTGTGTGTGTGGCTGGCTGGCTGCAATGCACCTGAAACCACTGAAGCTATGCCAAGCTGTAAGCAACAGAGAAGTGGTTAGCATTGCTATCATAATGTTGTGAAATGAAGTCAAAGTAATGATTTGATGTCTCTTCTTGGGGCACTAATAATAATACATCTATTCATCCATACAATACACAGTATAATTTAATGAAACACACATCAGAAGAGAGGAACTGGTGTTTTCAATGTTTTGGCACGAGCTGCAGAAATTGGACATGTTTCTGAGCTATTTCAATGGAACAAAACAATGGATTAGATATCATACTGCCCGGCAAATGAATATGGAGGTTATGTTTGTGCAATTTGATAGTGAGTGTGAAAGTTCAAACATGTCTTTAGGCAGAGAGAACAAAAATCACATTATAGATGAATGAAAAGCAACTGCAATTTTTGGTGCACTGACCTGATTTACAGTGAGTGCAACAGCTTCAAAGATCACCCATTACTAAGGAGTAAGGGGTCACAATCCCATCACCCGGCCTACATTTGAAATAGCATGAAAAAAAAAGCAAAGAGGTAGAAAGGATTTCGCTGCTAAAATCAACGCAATATAGTTATCCATATGAGGAAAAGCGCAAGTAGAGCGTAGCATTATTAAGAGTTTGTTCTGGGCCTTGTCATGTGGTTATTTTCAAGTAAACACTGTGCTTTGCTAGTAAAAGTCGTTGTAAAGATTGTCTTTTATGCATCAGAGGGGAAACATTACAAATCAGTGTGCTGTTGGTGAGTTGAAGTGGTGCGAGAGGATTCACACCTTTCAGTTATAGCTATTCACAAAATAAAATATCATAGAAATAATGTCGCACTTTGTCCAGTGTGTCAACTGAGAGTTGATAGTTACAGTGTAGAGTGGATGTAGGCGTCATCAGAATCACTGTCCTTGGATATGCTACTGCTCGGAATAAATGTAGACTATTTTCCTAGATACTAATTACAACTTTTGTCATGTGACTTTTTAACACAAGGGGGCATAGAAGCACTCTCAATCCTCATTCTGTCATGTAGACAGGGAAAATGTATTATGGGTCATGGGTAAAAAGCTCATGCAAATCTGTTTGTGCTTAGCAAAGGGTCTCTGGATTAGTTATGTAAATTTATTTCTATACTTTATTAATCAAAACAAATTTTGCCTCAAGTTTCATGAGTGAAATAGCTCATTTGGAGGGTTTTCTATTTCTTCTGAGAGGATGACAATGGAGGTATATCTCAATTGTGTGACGCAATTCATAGCCTTTCAACTTTTTTAATTTTTTGAAAAAAACGTTCTGGTTGAAGTTATGACACCCGTAGTTTATCATTATGAAGTAATTTGTGATGCATAATTGTGTAGCGATTCATTTTCAATGTTCAATTATGATTTGCTTGACAATCAGCTCCTATTTTGAAATGAAAGGATCCTTGGACAGCCGCCTTCATCCGCTCTAATATTTTTAATTTAAAGTGCAAAATGTACAGTAAGACTTATGTCATTTCACCAATAATTTACAGTAATATGTAAAACAACATTTACAATAGAAGCACTATAGAGTAAGGATTCATAACTATATGCAACATTGATCATCCTGTACTTGAATGATATGCTGTCTAATCTGAAAAGCCTATTATGTAAATTACTACGACTATATTTATGACTTAATTTTAACCGATGCACCTGAACAGTGTAATAAACATATTTCCCTACCGTGTGGTTTGTATTTACATTCAGTTCATTGCACATAATGGTTGATACCAATGGTAACATGCAGAACAAATGACTAATACACAGGTATGCAGATGCAGGATTGGAAGAAACAGCATCTCTGAAAATGATATTCCCTCAGGCTGCTTATCTTTGTGCTTTGTTTCGTCTTATGTCTGAGACTTTGTCTTATCCAACTTTCCACATTCAAATGTGCAGGCAAAACAACGAGAAAAAGTAAAAAGAAACATGAATAAAATCGGATTCAGTACAAAATTCCATAGAGAAAATTATAAATCAAAAGGATTGTAGAAAATCGTACCAGAGGCTTTCTGGTAGTGCCTTTGACTCTAATCATAGTTTTAACGTGATGAGGTGTTAAAACCGAAACATATTACGTTTTTTTTCTCATCTTACCCATAAAGAACTTGGGATTTATGAGCACTCATCAGTTTCAGTACATTTGTAGTTATTGCATGTGTTTGTAAAAAAACAAAAAACAAAACACTATACACTACATGGCAATGGAACATATGTAAAGTCAGTTAAAGCAGGTAAGACAAAACTGACTAAATACCCTCAAATCATTTTTTAATACGTTATCGCCCATTGTGCTAAAACTGGCACTGTGCTGAAATGTGCTTGGATACATTACACACAGTATAGTAGCCATCAATGTTTATCCTTAGTGTCTTATGTGCTTCTGTTTGCTTTTAGTTGAGTTCCTAGATCGAGGCTGACCTCATTGTGTTTGCTGATGTCTTTGAGCAGCAGTGTTCGTTGACTCAGGACTGCACTTGTGCTCTTCTACTTTCCGTCTCTTCCTCTTTCAGCAACAAATTAGCATCTAAGGTTGCTGCTTTGAAGAGAGGAGGCTGCTGGGGTTTTGAAACAATTTGTGTCTGATTAAGGACAGAGTCACCTGTACTTAATAATAATTACAAATAAAAATAGGAAACCTTAAAGGTGGGGTAGGTAAGTTTCAGAAACCAGCTCGAGTGCACTAAAATTTGAAAGTACACAGCCGAAAAGAATCCGCCCCTTCCTTCAGACTTCTTTACAGAGCACCTCCTCCAACACACATGAACGCGCACATGACGTCAGCAGACTGGTGAAAGTGGCCGCCTGTTGCTGGCGAGTCATTGAAGTACTGCTGCAATGCACGCCCAATGACGGCACGCCCAATGAGGGCACGAGATACATTTGTGTGTGCACGAGATGGAAGGCTGACAGACAGGGCGGCAATTGTACTTTTTACAGTACTACGGCTTCCACAGATGACATTTTTTTATGGATTTTTTGTCAAAGCACTTAAGATATTCATTGCTATCGGGATGTTAAGAGCATTCCATGGAATATAACAAGTGTATCTCGAGCCGGTTTCTGAAACTTACCTACCCCACCTTTAAATTGACGAGCAGACCTCGACTTGGAGTTTGTCTCTTCCAAATCTCATTATACATTTTCAAACAATATAACGTGGGAGAACATTTCTGTTTGTAAAATGTTGACCATTTAGTAATTTAGACTGAATATATCCACTATGACGAATCAATATACTGTAGTCTTGATTGTGTATATGTCATTCGAGCAACTAGTGTTATCTCCATGTCAGACAAATACTGCGGTCTTGTGGCTTTCCTTATTCTAGGGGCCTTTTTTAAACTGGTTTTATGGACAGAAAGTGACAAAGTAAGTATTTAGGTGTTTTCTCTCCATGATTTGGTCTTCAAACAAGTCCTTCTCTGTCAAAGTATATCAGATGTCTGCCTTTGTGTGTGAATTAATGTGTGTTTCTTGTTGTCTGAATGCACTATGTACAGTATTCACAGCGTGTGTTGTGCTGCATGTTCAGGTAAAATGTGTAGGAAAGTGTGTAATAAAGACAGAGAGAAGAGGGCGGGGGAAGTGTACGTGTTTGAACCTGCCCAACACACATTCACTCAAAGCGCTCGTAGTTCCTCGTCTGCCTCACGCGGGGCACCATGTCCACCAGGAGTCTGTGGGCAAAGAAACAAGGTCTCATTGTATGTAAATGTTCAGAAATACATTCTCCAAGGTGGCGCAGATCGTGCTGATTTAGCACTCAGCATGAATGACAAAAGGATAGGCCTAATATAAATTATGAAATAATTTATATTAATTATAATAATATATTATTATTATTTGAGCTTACTTGACGCCATAGGCCATGATGATGAGTCCAATGAGAACTCCGAGGGTGCCATCCAAAAACCAGACGTCAACGTGGTCCTTGTAGATTTCAGCGCTGATCAGAATGGAAAATCCCATGATAGAACCAACAATAGAGTTAAACCCTGAAAAAAACACAGAGGTGTGGAAAATGTAATCTCGAAGTACTGAATCAGAGGAAGGCCAGATAATAAGTTCCCAAACATATAAAGAAACAACATTTTACTTGGAAAAACAAAACACAAATGCTTTCACAATGAGAAATGCGTCCTTAATAATGTTGAAAGGTTGCATTTGGACTTAGAATAAATGCCTTTTAAATTATAATAAAACAACTTGTTTAAAAAAGGAAATATGTATAGTATAATATGTTGCATTGTCAATTGCTATTGGAAAAGACACCATTCAAAGTCAGCTCTGCATACCCGTCCTAACAATCGAGAGAAAAATAGTTTAAATGAGAACACGTGAAATAGAAAAATACAATTGTATTTTCTGTTAAGTCCTCATCCTGCTGCATGGTCTGTGTTCTAGGGAATTCCTGCATACATTAACTTTAAAAGCAGACCAAGCCTACTAAATAATAATTGAATGCCTCTTTGATCACAAAGAAATATATGTATGGTGTTTCTATGAAAACAATCCAATAAACAGAAGAAAGTCTGCAAACGTTAGGTTATCATAAGTGAAACATATACTCTTGAGTGAATGAATTGCACTAAGATCTGCCCTGATTCAGGTCACCTTGTGGAAATGTGTTCAGAATACTGAAAATGTCCATCAAACAGGAAAGTTTCGTCAGCAAAGAAGTCTCAAAGGGACTAAAGACCTATGGCTCATAATATCTGATTAAATTAGGTCTGCATTACGTTAAAGCTTTAAAGGAAGGACCAAAAGAGTCATTTCGGTCCGTTTATGAATTGTTTGTCTGAGTAATGAAGTAGTCTAAGTAGTGGTAGTTTCAGTTTCAAATATGCTTCATTAATCCTGATTATGACCAATTTAAGAATCTAGGTGAGAAAGTGGTAAATACATTTCAACGAACATCTCTTTATTTGAGGGCACAATCTTTTGGTTATGAAAGAAAAGTTTGACGTTTTGAATGTGGAACTTATTTGGAGTTAGACGAGAATATTGATGCTGCTCTAGTGACTGCACAGTAGAAATGAAGCTACAGCAAGCAGCCGGTTAGCTTGGCATAAAGACTGGAAACAGTGGGAAACAGCCCACCGGAACCTTTAAAGGTCCCCTATTATACTGTTTTTCATCAATATATTATAGGTCTCAGATATATACAAAACATGTCTCTGAAGTGTTTGCCTCCAAATACCAAACAGATCATGCATTGCAGCATCCCATAATCCCCTCTGTTTCGGCCCTGTTTCCAAAGTGCTGATTCTCTGTCTGTTACTTTGGATGAAAATAAGGAGCCACCCCCCACGCCCCTCTGAGAGATATTTGGTTATAAAACACACAATGGTGCTCTAGGAGAAGATTCAGGTGATAAGGGGGGGGGGGGGGTTACCTTGGTTGCTGATTGGCTAATGGTTACACAAGCCAAAAAATCGTTATGACATCATAAAGTGGCCAAAATCTGATCAGCTCATTTTCAGACAGGTTTTTATATAAATGGATCAGGACAAAAAGAGAGAGAATCTTTTTTCCTGAAACTTTCAGTATCTCTTTACACAGAGGGGACACATGGTGATGTAGAAAATATATGAGAAAGTGGATTTTGCATAATACAGTAGGTGACATTTAACATGTTGTTTCTCAAATGTTTGAGCTGTACAACAGTGCAAGTGTAAGGGTTAGGGTTGGGGTCAGGGTTAGGGGTAAGAAGACCAATTGTAGTTTTACAGAGGGTTAAATCTTGGATCTTATTTGTCAGCCATTGTCCCTCTGGAGTTCCATCGTCATCATGAGATTGCCTGTCATACAACTTTTAAGGTGCTAAAAGGCTAATTTATTCTTAAATCCTTTGCATAGAACCTGACTAGCTATTCCCCCCCCCCCCCCATTTACCACACAAATATGAAAGTTGTATTAGACCATTCATGAAACTCTATCAAGAGCAATTGTACTTTTCCATACAAGAACTTTCCTTGCTATATCATTCTTGAATACATTTACTGTATTTGAGTTACCCCAAATAGTGTTACGGTTAAGTGAAGGAAGCAGGACCCAAATGCAGATAACTCAGATTAACCTTTATTTCAAGGATAATGAAAAAATAACTTGGACAAAACAGAACACTCACCGGTGAACTCAGTCACAAACAAAAGACGAACCAACACTGAACCCAGGAAGAGACAAGACTAAATACAGGGAGGGGTAATCACAGGACGAGAAGCAGCCGGGCAGGGGAGGAGAAACACAAGGGCCACAGGTGAACACAATCAGACAATTAGACACACCAGGGAAACTAACGACGGGAGGAAAAACACAGGGAGAGGGACCAGACAATACACAAGAGAGGTTTCTCAATACTCAATTTTCCCCTCCTCGACTCCTGGACTCCTCGGTCCTCCGGTAGCGACCCGGAAATGAATTTCAGCACGCCATTTTGAAGGACATCTAATTTCTGTAAATGCACATCGAGGACCGAGCATCGAGCATCGAGGAGGCTCTCTGGAGGAGCTATAACCGAGGATACACTGATGGTTCCTCCACGGCTCCTCCGCGGATGCATTTCCGGGAATGGTGGAGGCGTGACGCACGGCCGGACTTATCTCAGCCAATGACAGCTCTGCATGCATCCCCTGGATATTATTTTAGAAACTGCTTTCATGTTTCCAGAGAGAACAGCTGTGAGGTCCGTGCAGAAAGCAGAGCAGTGTGTAAAATATATATCACTCAGTATAACAGGCCTACTCTCTTTATTTGCTTTAGTTTAGTAGATATCTACAAACAAAGAGTCAATATTTTTCTAAGACCATTTAGTGCTTCACATAATTGTTTGTTTGTATGTTTGTAGCCTTTATTTAACCAGGTGAAAGCCCCTTGAGATCAAAAGATCTCTTTTTCAAGGTTGACCTGCAATAATAAAAAAATAATAATAAAATACACAACAGCTGTAGCCTGATTATGCTTTAGGAGCTGTAGGTGTGTGTGGTAGTGTGTAGGTGTGTGTTGTAGCTACAGTGTGTAGGTGTGTGTGTTGTACAGTGCGTAAATGCGGCAGACAGACGGGTCTCGTTGGTTTGGTGTCCTCTGCTTACTTTTAATACTTGTAAATACAACTTTTGGCCCGTAATTTCAATTCCCCATTTCAGCGACCAGAGAGAGGGGGAGATATATCCAGTCTCTGATTGTGTTACTTTATTATGAGAGTGCTCTCATACTTGTTTGATTCTGAAATTGTATATATTTATATAAATATGTGTGTGTGTGTGTGTGTCCCCGCATCTGTAGCCTGTTATTGTCTCATTATACCGCACTGTGAATTAATTAAAAGTAAATATAAGTCATCATGAACACATCTGTCCATCAGACAGAGGGCTGCTGTGCCTCCTGTCATCATTAATGGACGTCTCTTTAAAATGACCGCTCAGAGGAGAGGAGTTCTCATTTCTCTAACCGCCTGCTGCTTCCCCTCCTCTCTCCTCGGTTCCCCTCCTCAGTCCTCCGCTCGCATCTCCTGTGGGCGGGACTAAGTATCGAGGATAGGAGTCGAGGAGGGGACATTTAAGAATTGAGAAACCTCTATGGAGGAAAACAAGACGGGGGCCCTTTCTCATTTCTCTAACTCCCCTCCTCGACTCCGTGGACCCGTTCAAATCCAGTTTTGGACAGTCTGCCGTGGTTCCATCCCATTTCAAGTGCTGTTCGAGGCTCGGCATAACCCTCGGAGCACACTCTCCAATCACAGAGCTTGAGGACTATCACGGGGTTTGTCAAACAGAGCACATGGTGTAGTCCAAACGATAGCTGGGGATTCTGAGTAGTGTAGTGTCTTCTGCCATCCTTTACTCCGAAAAAATATTTGTTTCTCCGAATCGAAGGGGGACAATACAAAAGCATTGCACACAATTTAAACCAATCAATGTTGTGTAATTAACAAGGATAATCTGGTGTTTTTTAGTCGATGAGTAGTGCAGAAATCACTGTAAAATCAATCGACAGTAAGGGGAATACTTACTTCCGGGTGTACAATTCTCCGTTATCCAATGGGAATGGACGCTCACATTGCCTTTAAGGGCAGCCGACACAAACGAATGCCGTGCTTCCATGAGCGTCATTACCAGTAGAAATACATTGCTTTTAAAATCGTGCTGTGCAACACGAAAAAAAGGGGGAAATCATGTTGGTGAACACGAATCAATTGATTAAAAATCGTGTTGGTGAACACGAAATGCCATGAGACTGGGTTGTGTATTTACAAGTATTAAAAGTAAGCAGAGGACACCAAACCAACTGACCTGTCTGTCCGCTGCATCTACGTACACAACACACACACACACACATACACCACACACACGCACCTACAGCTCCTAAATCAGGCTACAGCCGTTGTGTATTTTATTATGTGAAGCACTAAATGGTTTTAGAAAAATATCGACTCTTTGTTTGTAGATATCTATTAAACTAAAGCAATTAAAGAGAGTAGGCCTGTTATACTGAGTGATATATATTTTACACACTGCTCTGCTTTCTGCACGGACCTCACAGCTGTTCTCACTGTAAACATCGCTTCGCGATGAGAGCAGTTAATAAAATAATATCCAGGGGATGCATGCAGAGCTGTCATTGGCTGAGATAAGTCCGGCCGTGCGTCACGACTCTTTGAAACATCTCTGTTGCCGGAAATGCATCCACGAAGGAGCCGTGGAGGACCGTGGAGGATGCATCAGTGTCTCCTCGGTTAGAGCTCCTCCAGAGAGCCTCCTCGATGCTCGATGCTCAGTCCTCGAAGTGCATTTAGAGAAAGGAGATGTCCTTCAACATGGTGCGCTGAAATTCATTTCCGGGTCACTACCGGAGGACCGAGGAGTCGAGGAGCCGAGGAGGGGAAATTTGATGAAATGAGAAAGGGCCCGGGAGAACCGAACAGCAAAATAAACCCAAACATACAAAACTACAAACGTGACATAACATGAGAATCGTGACAAATACTGTAGGGGCTTATGCATTTTTTATAATTACATTTCTCCTTGTGTGAAAGCTACTGCAGTAGGTTATTATCTCGCCCACAGTAAGTGTATGGTCTTGTGGGAAATAAATCCAGTCTCCGAAATCAGCAACCTTATTATTTGTATTTTATTGCCACAGCAGGAAAGTCTGTTTTGTAACTGTTCTGGTTGAACTACTTCTCATTAGCAGAAGAGAGACACAGACATTGATCCTCAACACTAAAGGCTAAATAAATCACCAATGAGAGATGTAACACCAGAGAGTTTTCGTGGGCATTTATTGAGTAAAATACTATTTCCTTTGCCAATTTTACACGCTTTGTTAAGACCTCTTAAATTGGGGAACTTTTCATTTATTTATGTGTGTGTGCGGTTGCTTGTGTACCCTACCGTCAGTGATAAGTGCCCGGCTAGTCAGCACCCTTCCCAGCATGAACTTGGCCACAGCTAGCACAGCACATGTGATTCCGCTCACTATAGACACACTGTAGAGGAAGTCGTCCTGTGGAAAGACAGGAGAGAGAACATGGAACATTATTTGAATGATTCGTTTCTGGTAAACCGTGTGTGTAGAAACAAACAGAGAGAAAGCTACAAACTGTCTGTAGAGCAAACATTCAAAAGTACCAACAACGTCAGTCAGACAGAACCAACCACCAATATTTCCTCAGCTCAACCATAAATAATATATACAGGCTTGACTTGGTGCATCAAGCCAAGGTTATTCAGATGGCGCCTCTAAGTGATGTGAGGGTCTGGTGTTTTTAAGTTTCAGCAAAAAAACAGCACTTGACCCCAACATGTCTCTCTAACAGATTTCACAGGGCCAACAGGGGGTACTGAAGAGGAAAAAAGAAAATGGGACTATAAAAGATACATGAGAGAATAACCAAACTTTTGTTTTTGACAGACTTTACCCTGCTTCACCAGACTTGGGTCTTTCTTGTTTTTAATATAGATGGAGAAAAAAGACATCATGACAAACACACCAAACTGAATAAACCCGCTTTTAAACTTGATCTTCTTGAACTAATATTAGTGACTTATTGATTATGTCAGATTTGTTTAGAAACAGATTTTGGTAGACTGCTGATGTTAAATACCAGAAAATGTTCTGGCAAAATTCACTTGTTTCTGGGGACAGGAAATGCATCGTACATATTGGAGTGTTAAGTGTTTTAGGAGCAAGGGGGCACTACAGTAGCATCCTTAAAATGATCTGAATAAAGGACTTGTTAGAATGTTAGGGGTATTGAATATTGAAACAGTCCTTCTGTGGGATTTGATTGCATAGAATTCCTGAAATTCTAAAGTCTTTCAACAATACTGTACTTCCTAAAACAAATCCGCTGGGTGGATGTATATTGGGTTTAAATTCTTACACAAGTTCTAGTTTGAGGCTGATCTGCAAGTTTTCTTGTTGGACTTCCAATATGCCATATACTTCCATCTGTTGCTGAAGTTCTAGATGCAACGTACTAAAATCAGATGTGGTAATAGTTTGCATTTAGTCAAGGCACTTGACTAAAGTCATGGTTCATCCACTCACTTTATTTGTCTGAGACTCGTTGTCAGGATTGGATAACCTGATCCATAGCCTCTAGTCCAACCTGATCGACACGATTCATGGTAGTGAGTGACTCGTCATTCACATGGTAGTCACGCTATAAAGCATATGCTGCTTCTTTGCCTAATTTACATGGGACAATAACTAAAGATATTAACTTCCTCCTTTAGTGAATAAGAATTGAAAATACCAATACAAAATCTCATCAGGTAACTTGAGTCATGTTTCTCATAGACTTCTACACAATTAGATATATTTTTGCAACCAGTGAAGTCGTCCCCTGCTAGCCATTAGAAGGAATGCAGGTTTAGGGTACTTCTGTCTATCATTGCAGAATGGTTAACCTAGGCTTTGTATAAACCATTCTGTGACACAAGCACACACAATATATCGTCACGTAAACCAAAATGCACTATCTTTCAGCTCTTTATTCGCGGATCAGCTAAACACTTATTATTCCCTCGCATCGTTTTCACTCCCATTAAACATGAATTAGATAGAGGCTTTAATTTCACATGTCTATCCTTCATTGGCTGACTGCTTCTTATGTCAGAATATCGCAGTTGTCAACAGTATTCTCTCTGCTTTACAGTATTGTGGAACACTCTATCCATGCTGTGTTTTTTTCAATAGAATAAAGGAGTAAACAAGGGACACTTTTTAGGATTTTACTGGCGAGTATTTCTCAGATTGTTTAGCTTTGTTTATTGCGAAATACTCTTTGAGCTCAAGATCAGAGAACAAACAAGTGTGTCACAGCATGCTAGCACTCTATGTGTTGCATCAGTGTGTGCTGCCTTCTCTCCACCCTCACATTGGCAGGGAGAGACAATCTCAGCTCTGTGTGTTTAATCAGGCACTCGACACAGACAGCCTGCCATGGGAGCAGCGACCCGGGACGTGACGCGAATCAGGATTCCAGATTTTCTCCACCCTCTGTCTGCGCAATGTGATTTTATGGCCTGATATTTCAAGGTAGCAAGATGAAACAGTACTCTCAGTGTGTGTTGCTGTTGTTAATTTTTGGCTGTTACATTTAAAGGGAACCGGAGAATATCAGCCCAGAAACAGACATCATATTCAGCCTGCAGATTTGACATTTCCTTCTTAAAAATTCAATTTTTCTCCCTTTTTATAATCCTTATCTTGCCCTTCCTGTCACACGCTGTTCCGCAGATACAAACGTTAGAGCACATGTTAAATCACCACAGACTTCTGTGTAATGAAGACTTCAGAGAAAATATCTATTTCAGCCACACACCAGAAACCAAAGGTGGAACATAAAAAAATACAAATGGCAAAAATATGAGACACAAATGACAAAAATACGACACAAAAAACAATTAATCAGTGAAAGAAGACATGGTAATGGAGTAAGACAAACTATGAAGTTGTTGGGTGAAATGATGGAAGAGGGGTGAGGAAACAAGGAAAGGGGTAGGGGACAGAAAGAGAGTAGAACAAGATAATGAATGAGGAAGTGAGGAAAGGAAAAAGAGAGACCTTATAAATGGCAGATATTGAGATTAAAATATTCTTCAAACTCTACAATGTTAAATAATTTTCTGTTGCCCCTTATGAAATCAAATAATTATTGATTTCAAACAAAGCAATGTTTGTTCTTGTATTTTATATCTTCTTGTCTAGTTTTTCTTTGGTAATGGCTCCTTTGAGACCTAATACCCCCAGTGCCCTAATCTGGGGCTGTAGTGCTTGTTGATGCTTGGCGATTGGTAAATTGGTAAACCTTCACTCTCACTGGAAACGTACCTAAAATTGTAGTTGCTTTAACATTGTACCCAAGTAGCCGTCGAAAGACTGTTACATAAAAAAAATGGATAAACAAACTGATAATCAATCTGATGCAGGTAAAGACAGAGAAGCCCAGATTAAAGGAGAAGATACTGTTCAAAGAAGGTCGAAAGGCTGGTGAAGAAAAGAGAGAATGTAAAAGGACGGACAGAGGTAAAGGGCTCATGCTGGTGCCAGGAAACCAACCCAGTCTCATAAAAAAACGTGTAATAACTACGTTGGTCCACAATGTAGGACGTAGTATTTCTACAAAAACGCCTCTGAAATTGTAAGATCCCTACGTTTTTTTTCATCATTCATTCCAATGGCTGGCGTCTATGTCACGTGCAGAAAAATAAAAATATGGCCGAACTTCGTTTTATTCTCGGTGGAAAATGCCTATTTTAAAGTTAGTTTGGCCATTAAAATGCCTTTTCAGGTCATTTGATGCGAGAAATATGAGTTGTTATTTGAGATGATGTGTGCAGTGAATGTACATGATTTTTAGTTTGCTAGTTATTACTAAGATTACTTCAGGAAATTGTGTCGATACAACGTTTTCATTGTTACCAAGGTGGTTGCTAGGGACGCTGCTATCGATATTATTTCTGTTATGTTGTGTAACTGTTTAATGGTGTTATCTTTATTGCTACCCCCTTCCCCGTCAATGTATAGTGTTGGTCCACAGCTCAAACGTATTAGTTTAACAAAATCTGCATCTAAAATTGTGGCATAGATACGTTATTTTCCCCTGTGCAATTCCAGTCTCACATCTCACATCACATCGTCATAAACAAATACCGGAAACAGACCGAAAACACTTTATTCCGAGTGTGCTTGCTTTTCTCTTTGGAGGTCATCACATAACGGCATTGTAATACACAGTTTGGCTGCATTAAATATTACATATCTGCCGTAGTTCTCTATTTATAGAGCCCTGATGAGAAGACTTCTAGACAAACATGAGGAACTGCCGCCAACACTGAAAACGTGACATGGATCATAAATATATCAACAATTAAACAACATCTTACATTTCTTTTCACACAATATGTCTCCTTGCAGTATCAACACTAATTCGGCTGACTTTTATATTTGATCCAATTGGTAGACCAATTGAACACTCTCCAATCACAGAGCTTGAGGACTATCACGGGGTTTGTCAAGTGAAGCGGAGAGAATACTTACTTCCGGGTGTAATATTCTGTAAAGCAAATGAGCTGCTCCGACCCTCGGTCCTGACGGACTCCAACTTGTGTTTATAAATCAAACAAATAAATAAACACAAGGATAATTATGTGTTATTGTTGAGTAAATGGAGAATTGCACAGGGGAAAATAACGTATCTATGTCACAATTTTAGATGCGGATTTTGTTAAACTAATACGTTGCGCTGTGGACCAACACTATACATTGACGGGGAAGGGGGTAGCAATAAAGATAACACCATTAAACAGTTACACAACATAACAGAAATAATATCGATAGCAGCGTCCCTAGGAACCACCTTGGTAACAATGAAAACGTTGTATAGACCCAATTTCCTGAAGTAATCTTCGTAATAACTAGCAAACTAAAGATCATGTACATCCACTGCACACATAATCTGAAATAACAACTCATATTTCTCGCATCAAATGACATCAAAACGCATTTTAATGGCCAAATTAACCTTAAAATAGGCATTTTACACCGAGAATAAAACGAAGTTTCGGCCATGTTTTTTTTTTCTGCAGGGAGAAATGTGAAGATCACGTGACATAGACGCCAGCCATTGGAATGAATGGTGAAAAAAAACGTAGGGATCTTACAATTTCAGAGGCGTTTTTGTAGAAATACTACGTCCTACGTTGTGGACCAACGTAGTTATTACACGTTTTTTTGTGAGACTGGGTTGAGGAAGCTCCTTTGAGACCTAACACTCCAGTTTCTATTAACATAATGGCAGTGGAGCATCAAACACAGTCTCTGCTCGCTTCTCTACCAACTTCAGTCTCTCGGCTTTAGATTTGTGGTCAAAGGGGCCTCACTGACTCATTTTTACACCATCAAACATGCACTTAAAGAAGATAAAAAAGACTCACATTTACTGTCTGGTACAGATATTTATAGATTCTCACATCCAATGTTATTTCTTCCTGTTTTCTCCATAACCCTTATCTATTCTTAATCTTTAGATCCTCCCTTTGTGGAATGTATTGTAAAAAAAACTCTTTCTAAACAGTATTTATACTCATGCTGTGCATTTAAATCTTCTTTTGGTCTTCTGCTACCTTTTTCTTATAGCTAGTTAATTTATTTAAGTATAGCTAAGCTTTGGTAGACATAAAGTGGATATTTTGACCAAATATGGGAAGGCTAGACCCAGTACATTTGCAATTAAAGATGCAATTGGGAGCAAGGAGGTGCAAATGTACCAAGATCAGTCCCCACATCATAACATTGATTTAATCTGCTTCATAAACATACAGCAAGAAGAGGAAAAATGAAAGAAAATGAGAAGGTGTATGCGAAGGTTGGCGCATCCAATGCTAGCTAGTGTGATTACATCTGTACAGTTAAAGAGGTCCTATTATGCTTTTGGGGGTTTCCCTTACCTGTAGTGTGTTGTATAGGTTTCCATGCATGTAAACAGTCTGCTAAAGGCGACATTCAGAAAGGTCATGCCAGAGGGAGTTTCTCTCATGCCCATACCCCCTCGTTTGAAACGACTCGATTGGACTCCTTTGTTTACTTCCGTAACATTATGACATCACTAGGAACACTTGCGCTTCTATTGGCTAGCGCTCCGACACATTGTAGTGATAGGGTGAGGTGCGGGACATTTCCGACACAACTCTAAGAAGTTAACCTATCACAACAGAGACGGCCAGCTAACCAATCAGAGCAGATGGGCTCTGGTTTCAGACAGAGGGTGAAAAGAGGTGCTGCAGCACAGGCAGTATGAGAAGAATGAAGAGCTTTTTGAACATTAGTAATGTTAACATGTCACAGTAAAGGCACAAAATACAAATATGAACCTGGAAATTAGCATAATATGTCCTTTTAACATTGGTTGTTTGGGCCGATAAACAGAACAGTGCAACATTTGCAAAAATACTGCAAAGCATATATTTGCTTTAACATTATGTTTTAAAACAAACGACCACATTTCTGCTGCTTCAAGTTGAGAAAATCTAGAAAATCTCACAGGCAAAGCTCCGTCTCATGGTTTTTTAAAGGTCCAAATAGGCCAATAAGTCCAACATTTTGTCTCAACTGAAGGCTGTTTTCAATTCAACTGTGAAATTAATGTTGTTAACAGTAAAACACTGAGATATGTTTGTTTTTGATAGAGCTGCTGGATCTATAACAAAATCTAAAAGTGCATCTGACAGCTTCGAAAATACAAGGCTAGGAATTTTAAAGAGGAGCTTTGTATTTTTGGAGTGTATTCATGTCTCTTGGCTTCACTGGTTATTGAAATGGACAGATGGTGGAGGTTAAATCATTTACAAACCCAAATAGGAGGGTTCAAAGCACAGAGCTGGAAAAGATGCGATGGGCACTCCCCAAACAGTGTGACCATGTTATAGTCGGGCCGTGCCCCGGCAACACAAATATGAGACTATTTTGGGACCTCATTCACAGTCTTAACACCTCAAGAGAGATGTGGACAGGGAAGTGGAGTGTTGAAACTAAATGTGTGTGCATGTATGTGCCTGTCTGTATCAAAGAGAAAAAAGAGAACAATAGTCAGGGGGACTGAGACAAAAACTCTGACGTCAGAGCAGCTACAGCAGGAGGCTATTAAAAGAAACGCGCTCCAAACCATAAATGATGTGTGTGTGTATTTTTTTGTATTGCTCTGTGTGTAGATGTGCTCAATGAGCCCATATGTAACTCAATGCTCAATTATGATACTCAGAGCAACCTTGTCAGAAAACACACACATGCACCTGTTTGCCACTTTTCTCATAAATAAGATGTCTATAATGTTGATGGAAAAACGAGGAGCATCTAATGAGCTATGTCTTGGTCTTAAAATACTGTAGGCTATCACAAAGTCCAAGGTTAGGTATAAACTACTAGACTGTCATGGCATTTGCAATCATTGAAAATATATACATTTTCTTTTATCAAAGATAACTTATTAATTAGATAAACCTTGCCCTTACAGAACTGCAAAATGTGATACAAATACATTATTATTGACAAAAATAATCAGATTATTCCCTTTTTATGACACATTATTTTACAGTTATGTTCAGTTTTAAAATTCTAAATCAACACCTTATACTACTGTATAGTATATATAGTATAGTATATACTATACTATACTTAGTATACTTATACTCTACTTGGTCACTTCACTGACTACTAGTAGTATGAACAAATACACTGACTGTGAACATAGTTTGAAATCTATTTAATGCTCTTAAGTAGCTTGAAACATTTCAAAACATCTTTAAACTGGTGATATTAATTCTCTATCTAACTTTCTATTTGACAGCAGTTATCTCACAAGACATAGAAGCCAAGAATTACCACCAATGTACCATGGTTCTTGCTTTAGCATGGACATCAATTATAAGATATTGTTCGATATGAACACAACTCCATTACGGATTTTTTTCTTTATGCTGTGTGTGTGTGTGTGTGTGTGTTTTTTACCACTTCAGGAGGCTCCCTGGTAGCCAGATTATGGATGGCCTTTCCAAGGATGCACAGGGAGGAAAGGACGAACACCACCCCGAGGACCACACATGCTCTGCAGACAGACAGAGAGAAGAGTTTAGGAGAGTCAGCTTAAGTGACTATCATGTCTTTGGTTTATACTAAGTTACATACAGTTGAACCAAAGCAATAACACAAAGACTCGAGAGCAGTCAAACTGTCTTCAATTTCTTTAACAACTTATATTCTGTTCCTTAAATCCCAGCCAGTGTATCCAAACAGACCCCCATCACCCCAACAACACACTGTCCTGGCTGCTGCCGTCTGGCAATGTTAACACAACTAGAACCTTTAAGTTCCTGACATGTATTATTGTTGACTTCATCTGCTTTACGTGCACATTGGTCTTGCAACATAATCTGCACTATTTATTCTAATCTATTTTACTCTGTTCTTCTTGTACTATTTTAATTGTATTTGTTTGTTTTATGTCCTATATAACATTGTTGGAGGACCTTGGGACTTAACATTTCTACACTGTAACTACTTTGTATATGACAATAAAGCCTTTGAGTCTTTGAATACTTAGTATTTTGAAAATGACTTATGTCAATAATAAATGATATGCATGTGTTGTGGTAATGATGCATCCCTTCAATTACACTATTTATTGAAGTTAATTTAACAGACTAATGACCGAATAAGCCATATATCAGTGTGTCTGGCACAATGCATGATGGATCATTCTGCAGAAAAAAGCATTGAAAAGAAAAATGTGCCTGATATTGCATATAACATCACGGTAACACTTTATATTAAGGTACACAAATTAACCATCAACTAGTTGTTCATTAACATGCATATTAGCAGTATATTGGCTCTTTATTAGTCATTATAAAACACTTATTAATGCCTTATTATACATGACCATATTCTACAAGTAATAAGCCATTAGTTGAGAGTTTTTCCTCAATAACCCTCTAATTAGTGCTTATTTGTTGCAAGTAAGGAACTTATTGTACATGAGTTTTGGTCTTAATATGCGCTGCTCAATATGGACCTAATAAGGCAGTAGTAGCACAAGAATCGTAATTATCCCATAATAACACTTAACAAATATAATCTATTCTTATGTAACAAGACATGAAACTATAAGTGTTAATTAAGTCTAAACAACTCAAAATTAGCTATTTATATCTAAGAACACGTTCTATTCTAAAGTGAAGTCTTGTTCATAACCAATAAGCTAGTAGTTTGACTCTAATTGACCAGAACAGGTTCCCTATTCTAAAGTTGCCTCCTCTTCACACTTTGTAAATACATTATAGCACACAACTACTGAAATTAACCTCAAAAGTACATGAACAAAGTAGGCACACGTTGAAATATCTGTTTTATTAATGAACCACTAAAGAGAGGTTCCAAAACATGTCAAGTTTCTCCAAGGCTGAGAACATATATGCAGCCTGTACTTTTGAATAAAAACTGATTTTTAACAGAGTTTATGTATTTGTGATCATACTGTGTGACCTGCTTGTATGTTCTTACACAATAGGTGTACTGTTCTCTCTCTGTGTTGTCTCAGTGTGAACATAGATTAAACAGCCAGCCAAACTCTTTTGAGAGCCAGGGAATGAGCAGCCATGCTCCTTTATTGACTTATTTGCAGTCCAGTGACATTCAAACGGAGTGAAACTATAAAAAAAGAAGTTACAAGGCACTTAATGATCTCATACATGCAAATGTAACATACACAGATGAACACATTAGGACCGCTTAGTGTAAACAAGGTAAACATAGCTAATGCTAGCTGTACAATAAGCATGTATACAGGCTAGTATGGCTAACGCTAGCATGAATGCTAACGCTACCGTGTATGCGAATGCTAACGCATTTTCTCATTGAGTTTAAACATCTCCACATGTCATCACATAAACACAATACATGTTACTAATCCTTACAGTGTAAGTGTAAGGCTCACACTTACACTTACAGTCATTGCTTTCTGACGGACTTGACCCTTTTACTCTTCAGGTTGCATAGGGAAAATTAGTGGCAGTGTAGGCCTACTCATGGATGTCTACTGCCATTATATTCCGTTCACGTTCTCCTACTTCCTGTACCCGGGTCTAACCTTCAGTACACATTTTACAAAAATATAAATGTGCAAATATGAAACATACAGGTCAATATCATCTTGCTATTGGTAGCTGAACTGTCAATACCCCAAAACATATTATAAGATATAAATACCTAATTTTGAGTTATTTTCACAATTAACACTTATAGTTTCATGTCTTGTTCCATAAGAATTGATCATATTTGTTAAGTGTTATTATGGGAGAATTACTATTCTTCTGCTACTACTGCCTTATTACGCCCATATTGAGCAGCGCATATTAAGACCAAAACTCATGTACAACAACTTCCTTGCTTGCAATAAATAAGCACTAATTAGAGTGTTATTGAGGAAAAACTCTCAACTAATGGCTTATTACTTGTAGAATATGGTCATGTAGAATACGGCATTAATAAGTGTTGTATAATGACTAATAAAGAGCCATTATACTGCTAATATGCATGCTAATTAACAACTAGTTGATGGTTAATTTGTGTACCTTAATATAAAGTGTTACCAACATCACTACCAAATGTATCACTGTTGCAGTGTATTTGGGTGTGTCAGAAAAGGGTTTACAGTGTATTGAGGGCACTGTGTGCTACCAGAATAAACAAGTTGCCATTTGAGGGCGACACTTTGTGATGTTGGATCATTAAAATAATATCCGGGATAATGAGGTGAATGTTTTGGAGTGAAGGGCTACAGGATGCTTGTATACCCACAATTCCTTGCTCTGGCAGCAGTGGAGTAAGATGTAGTTATTCCACACCACTGCAGTGCACAACAAATCAATCACATTTCACTGAGAAAACTTTGAGGTCTGCATATGTTTTAGTCATCATGATCTCCAATGCACACTTGTCATTGGAGATCATGATTACTAAAACCTCATTAGCTCAAAATGACTTGGAGGTCAAATAGCTGAAAAAGTATAATGTCAAAAAAGTTGACATACAATTAAGAAATGCTATTGTATATCAATGCAGCCTTAATATACTCTCCATCAAAGATAATATCTATTATCATCATCTTAATTCAAAATGGGTGTTAATAAACCCCCTGAATATCTTTCTCTTTTGCCTCTGTAACTAATCTTTCACACACACACACACACACACACACACACACACACACACACACACACGCGCACGCACGCACACACACACACACACACACACACACACAAACACACACACACACACACACACACACACACACACACACACACACACACACACACACACACACACACACTGTAACTTGAATGTCACCTTCTGCCTAATTCCTATTCTACTTTCTTATTATGTATATGTATTAGCCGAAGATGTACAAACAGGAACTCTAAAGCTTTCCCCTCCTCTAACTGAGGGCAAAAACCTACTTGGTCAAAGAAAAAACATATCTATCCCTGACCCTAACCCAACCCTAACCCTCTTGTTTATGTGTATTTATGCATCTCATGCCTACTCAGGATAGCTTTTTTTTCCACTTTTACTGTCATTACTATATAACAAAATGGTTTCTCTGCATGTGACCCATCCTAGTGTTAGGAGCAGTGGGCTGCCATTATGAACGGCGCCCGGGGAGCAGTGTAGGAAACGGTGCAATTGTTCGGGGTAAAATAAACTACGGACATACAGTAATATCATGTTACTCATTGACGTCGTAAAGGTAGCTTTTGTTGAACCAAACGTGGTCCCCCTGAGTGTTTGGTTAAACCATTCATCATCAACCCTGCTTCTTTCCCTCAGAGGACTTCTGTGCTCTTAAATCTTACTTCTGCTGCTCTGGGCGTCCAATAATGAGGCGAATGGGTTTACATTGGAATTACCTGAAAGTGCATTAGTAAAGTGTGTCTTCTGCATTAGTACCAAGACGCCAGCGCCTTACCGAAGAGTCCGGGAGTGAGACAAGGATGGAATATGTGTTGTATGTGTTTAGGTACATTTTAAGTACACAACTTTTTGTGTGCTCATGATTCTGATTCTATTATTGGATGGAGAGTGGCAGCTCAGTCCTTTATCACCTCTGAGTGGAGCAGAGGTGCTGTTGTTGTAAGGCTCTGTGCAACCTGACAGCCAGTTAATGGACTCAGCTGAAGGATTAATAGGCTTCTGTTTAGCTGTGATGTACAGTGACATACTGAACAGCAAGTGACCATGAAATGTATTGTTCCACTCCCTTATATGTCAAATGTGACTTAAACAGATTACAGGGGTTCACACCCTTATAGGTGCGAACCTCCATGTCCTTTTTATATTAGTTTCTTCCATTGTAATCCATTTGTAGTTTTTCCAACCTCTACTTTTATCATCACCATTTGATCCAACTTCGAATTACAAACAAATGTGAAAATAATACAATTTTTGATTTAAATCGTGTCAATGAAACAGCATTAGAAAACATTATAAAATGTTAAAAATAGTGGTTAATTTAGCATCTTTGCTTATCAAGATCACAGGGGGTTGCATACATAAATATCTAAATTTAAACATGGCATATGATGGATGAACACTTAATGCATTTATTTATTCATTTATTTAGTTATTTATTTATTCATTTAGTTCTTTATTTTAATATTTATAACATAACATAGGATTTCATAAAGTATTTTTAAAATAGTTTATACATTATTCGAATATAGGAATAGTAGATAGGATTACTTAAAATATAGTACCTTATATTTAATCTTTTTTCCCTTTGACCCTTGCGGTTTATTCTTAAAAACCCTTACCCTTACCCACCCCCCATTTTCCCTCTGCTGGTCTATGGCCTTGTAGAGGGTGACGGGGTACAGAGTCGATTAGATAAGCGGGGGAATGCATCTGACGAAGAGATAGGTTGTTATGCTCCCTATCTCTGTTTCTTAGCCTATATCTAATAGAACTGCTCGGATCTTGATAGATTGAGTGGGGAAGTTCATGAGATCTTTCTAGAGGGTTATCAAGAATAACTTTTATCCAATGACCTTTTCCCTCTCTGTCTGTGTTGTATTCTCTTGTTCGGATTAACCCAGCCAAATCGTTTTGTTCTTGTTTTGTATCTATATCTACGCCGGGATCCGGAGTCGAGGCTGATCCTCTTGCTGTAGCCCTGTGTCTTGGATCCTCTATCCTGAGTTCTGGATTAAGTCGTGGACTTCGGGTCGTGGCTGAACCTGTCTCTGCGGTCCTGCCTTGGATCTCGTCATGCTGCTTCCCTGATGGCTTCCACAGGATTGTAGCTGACATCCTCGTGGATTCATCTTCTTATTACAGACACATGCATTTCCTAACATTCGGTCTATATGCTGTCAAATGTATTATCTCTTCGATTTACACACGGCATCTATTGCACGTCTGTCCGTCCTGGGAGAGAGATCCCTCCTCTGTTGCTCTCCCTGAGGTTTCTCCCATTTTTCCCCCTTAAACTGTGGGTTTTCTCTGGAAGTTTTTCCTTGTACGATGTGAGGGTCTAAGCACAGAGGGTGTCGTTTTTCTCATACTGATATTCTGAACAATCTGTGCTGTTGTATTTGCTGTAAAGTGTCTCTACTGTAGGCTATTTTTATTATATGTACAGCACTTTGGCTCGACCAAAAATCGTTTATAAATATGCTATATAAATAAAACTTGATTTGATTTGATTTGAATGCAATAGCTCTCTTAATGTAATGCAGGTAGAGAAGCCAAAACCAAATTGCATCACACCCACTCATGTATCATTAATCACACTTTAATTCAACTTAGAAAAAACGTTTGGTACTCACATGTACTCTCTGTGTGCAGAGTGCACAGCTGCTGCGTTGCTGTAGCGCCAAAGGACAATGAATGATGAGAGGATGTCCAGCGTAGCATTAAACTACAACAAAAACACAACCATAGACACAAATAAAGAGAGGAAAGGGTCTACAGTTGTTATAGTAGTTGCATCTTACTTATTACAACAGCTGCAGCATTGTAATGACAAAGTGCAGTGATAAAATACTATAGATCTCTAAAATAGTATACATACAAATTGAATATATTGAGGAGGGACATTAAAGGTCAATAGTATAACAACCTCAACTTCTAAATATAATTATGATATTCCTCACTTGATTACTTACATTAAGACATTTCCTTTTTGTATTTCACATTTTCTGAACTGTTAGGTTTTAGATATGTAAATCAGGCAATTTTCTGATGCTAAATTTGGGTGGATTTTGAATAAATCTGCAGACACAAATAGACAAAGTTAGTCAAAATAAACACCTCAATAGGTACTTTGATGGTTATTTTAACGCTTATCTGAAAGAAAACATGTTCTGTAAGCAAAATAGCCAGAAATCTCAAAATTGAGAAATGCATGTAGTGCCTTGCCTTAAATATTGTCTGTTCAAATAATATGTCATATGATATGTTGTGTTACATAAAGGTGTATCAATGCTGACAGTCAAGGTAAATTATTTCACATTAACCCTCCTATTGTCTTCGTTTTCCCCCTTACTTTGGTGTTTGTGGTAAAATTTGACCGGTCCTGTTTTAACTGCTATTACATTAACACCAAAACCATTAATCATCACCAAATTTCATTTAACACCCTTTCAAACTGTAAATGTTGTATCAGACTACTGGTATACATGAGAAACTGCAGTAAATATACAAAGAACAGACACTGAACATGTATTGCGTGTGCCAGGTGTGATCCATGTGGGGGGATGGGCACATAAGAGCGGTACATGTGTAAAATTGGTGTGTGTGTGTGTGTGTGTGTGTGTGTGTGTGTGTGTGTGTGTGTGTGTGTGTGTGTGTGTGTGTGTGTGTGCGTGTGTGTGTGTGTGTGTGTGTGTGTGTGTGTGTGTGTGTGTGTGCGTGTGTGTGTGAGTGCCAGGTGTGATACACATGGGGGGATTGGGCACATAAGGGGACGACGACACATCTAGAGTATGTGTGTGTGTGTGTGTGTGTGTGTGTGTGTGTGTGTGTGTGTGTGTGTGTGTGTGTGTGTGTGTGTGTGTGTGTGTGTGTGTGTGTGTGTGTGTGTGTGTGTGTGCGTGTACGGTGTGTGTGTGTGGGTGGGTGTTTGTGTGTGTGTTTTATCTGATCCGGATGGTTGCTAATTCCTTTTCTTTATGGCGGTCATTTTTGACCGGGAACACCATGGGTGTTACAAAGTTGACTAAATCATCCAAAATTCAATGAAAGTGGTGATCAGCAATTTCATATGTTCAAATATCTACTGTGAAGTCAGATTTGACCCGAAGACAACAGGAGGGTTAATATGAATCCTGTGTTGTTAGTGCACTTAATACAATATGGGCACATTATCTTATGGGCATGCATATCAAAAAGATGTGTCAGTTGTATTGAATACAACATATTATGAATATTATAGTATTTGACTAAGTGCATCAGTCCTCTATTAGCTAGAAATGCAATAAGGTCATATCTGCCCTCTAGCTGTATCATAAAATATGCTGATTATCATGCTCATTTAATTTTTGGTTTACATAATCTGTAAAAACTTGAAACATCATAGCAGCTAATGCTACCCACACTCAGCTGCTTTGATCTGTGCCGGCTTATATCAACTTATCGTCTTTTTGCTCCGTTATTAGAATTGCCATAGATAGACAAGCACTTTTAATTAAAACCCAATCTCCAATAAAAAGATATACAGCACAGCACATTATGATTTATAATGTTCTAATTACATTATGCTAATCACATTTGCGCTCACGGAGGATTTCATTTCCACTTAACTCTTATTAAGTCTTATTTTTTAAACCAATCACATTCAATCACTTACCCTAAATAACGAGAAGTAATAGGAAGCTTTTTTTGGTAAAAGCTGGAAGACATGTTTAGCAAACACAAAATGCTTTTTGATATTCAACCTGAGCTCTATGCCCAGCCCCTTCTTCTCTGCCCTGTTACCTTGGAGACAAAGGGACCAATAACACCTTGGTAACAGGATTCATTAATAAATCACAGAAACCCAAGTAATGACTAATTGATTAATGCAAATGGAGAGGGAGAAGGGAGGCGGAAACTCACGGCAAATCCGAAGGCTGACGCGCTGTGTCTCATGAATGATACAGCTGTGGAGAGAGAAAGGGAGAGAGAGAGAGAGCAGTTAGCCATGTTTGTTTTTATTTCACTTTAGTTACGTGACATAAGTCGTTTGCACCGATTCCCAGGTGCATTAGTGATGCACTTTCATATGTTAACCTGCACCTACATTGTATCATTTTTAATAATGACGTGTTTTGTGTGCAAAATAAACAATAACATGATGAACCATCACATCATTATTAATTGTTTGAACCTCACGGGGACTTTCTTTATGAGTCCACCATGATAGACAGAACAATGTAGTACATTTAAAACACATAAGCTCAAATGACCATGTTAACAAAGGGATTTTAAGGTCCATGAAAAGACTGTGTGATAAGTGATTGGTTTAGTTTATTGCTGGTTCACATTTCAAGCAGTTTATTTAATGGCTGGTCTTTCGAATGTTCTTGCTGTGTAAGTGAGTTAACCGGATTGTTAACATTTAAAAAACCATGGTGATAAGAGCAGTGAACTGAAACCGCACAGCTGGGGTTATAAGACCAAAACAACATGCTTAAAGACACTAAATTACTCCATTGAGCTGAGGGAACTGCAGAACATGTTTCACAATCTTAACCAATAATGCTTAACCAATCTTAACCAACAACAATTAGCCAATCCTAACCAATAGCCTCTAACCAATCTTGACCAATAGCTTTTAACGAATCATAACACTTAACCAATTTCAACCAATAACACTTAGCCAATCCTAATCAGCATCGTAACAGTGGCATTACAATGATGTAGATGCATGAAGGTTTCCTGGCTGGGATTGAAGCTATTACATTCAGTACAGTTCTCGTCTGGCACACCTCTGCTTTTTTGCCCTTCTGTTCCTGTCTTTCTCTGTCTCCCCCTGTGTTTTCAGGACCGAGTCTCAGGGGATAGCCTATCGACCGTCACCATGGTAACAAGTCAGAGTTGGGTTGAACCACAGAGCTTTCATATCCTTGCCCCCATTCTCCTCTCTTTATTCTTTGTCTTTGGCTCCTTCGAAATGTTTTCTCCTAGATGTTCTTTTCTCTCAGACTCTGATTTTGTATGTCACATATTTCCTCCTTTCTTTTCCTTTATTGCTATATCTCAGGGTCTCTTGACACATGTTTCAGTGTTGGCCATATTTGTCTTGCTCTACAGACATGAAATGACACACGTTTTGCCAGGCACTTATACATATTCAAACACACTTTACAAAAAACGTTCAATTTATTACAATGCTTAAAGCATCACTTCAGTCTGAATTACAGTTATATTTACAACAAGGCAGAAAGAAAGGGGACTACAAAAGCTCAACGGGAGGGTAAAAAATATGGAGTGAAGTTAAAAATGGAGGACATAAAGAGAGATAAGAGGGCAATCCTAGACAGGCCCTTGGTACAATTTAGATGGTACTAGTCTGGGAGGGTGTGTGACACTGCCCACACACACTCACACACACATATGCTGTCACTCTGTCTGGGATACTGTCACCCTCTTTATCCTACATGACCTCTTCCTTGATTTTCTTCTCGTTCACGTGCAAATTATTTTTCACACACACAGGCTGAGCTGAATCCTCCGGAGCTCCACCGGGGCCTCGTGTCCATCTGGAGAGTTTAAAGGCTTTAACGAAAACTGAAGAAACAACCACAGGATCATTGGGCGATTCGAGATTTCCGAGATGTTCCCTTTCCAAAGGAAAATTAAGAGTATTATCTTCAACATCTAATACAAGAAATGTTTGGTAACATTGTGCCTCATTCAGTAGCAATATAAAAAAACATTTCCCCCTTTTTTCTGATTTGTAATAAGTTATCATGTTACCGTATCATTTAAAGCAGATCGTATACATACACATTCAACAGTCCCAGGAAATTGCTTGAATTGATTATATGAAGTGAATATGCTGAAACTGTTGCATATTCAGAAACAATAATTTGGACACAGACTATGTGAGTTGCATGTACAAGTGCAAAGAAGAAAAAATAACTAGGCGAAAATGTAATTGTAATAAAAATGAGTTTACTGCTACTCTGGTCAAATCTGTCAATGTGAGGTCTGACTGCTTATTCATCCTTGTGTAATAAATCGATGATCTGAACCTCTGTCTTCAAATGCAATGCAGTGAGTCAGCTGGAATGTAATGATGGAGGCACTTTAAGCGCACACACACATGGCTTTGTTTAATATTCAGTTCCCAAAAGAACAGATGTCCTCTCTCTGTGTCTGTGTCATCTGATAGAGTCTCATTAGGGAAGCATCCCTCAGCTTCACCAGCATCCCTTCATTGAGCCTATTTCTAGTGTCTGCCTGCAAACATTAAACACACGTAGCATTCAAACATATTTTTAGTGTATCTGGTCAGTTGGCCAATAAAACAATTATTCCCTTTATACCGTTTCGGCAACTAATATTTAAACAGTGTGTGTTGTCTCCTGTTAGCCATTCATTTATCCAGTTTCTGCTCTCAAGCTCATTTGGATGTGGCAGCCGTCTGCGTGGTTAGCGCCTGCCAGAAAATCGATGCCTCTCTCGGGGCAGCATACAGTGTGCGGTGTTACATCCTTTGGGTTGCTACTTAATCAGGGAGGCAAGCATGCGTGACCAGTGCTAACAAGACTGAGAAAACTGGAGAAAAAGGGGAAAGGAGGAGGAGGTGGAATGGAGTGGTACAAGGGAGGATAAAAAGAAGAGACAGGGAATTCAAAGACAAGTAGGAGGATTGGAAGAAGCAGAACTTGAGAGATTGGACCAGCAAGAAATGAAAAGGAAACAGTCGAATAGCGTTTGATGTGTCTCCAAACAAGGTGATTCTTTGCTGTTGTTCTACAATGATTCTAATTGCCTTTTTGGTCTATTTCTAGGAATTGGTATTCTATTTAATTATATGTTCCCTATAATCCACTCAGATGTCCTGCAAATACCTGCATAGCCATAGCAACGGTTAACACTTGGCAGCAATAAAACTCTAATTATCGGTGAGTTATGTAAGATGTGGGGCTCAAGCCAGCACTTAACATCCATACTCTCTCTCCTCAGTGATCACTTGGCACTGATTATAATTCCATGATAGATGAAGAAGTATCCGATCGGACATTAATGCATTGCCAGACCAGACATTGAACTGTTGTGGGTGTTTAGAACCAAAGTAACGTAAATCATTTTAAATACCAATGGGATAAGTGGTGATATTTATTGAGGTGTTCTGTCCTCTGCTTAATACAGCATTCAATTATAGGCTTCATGCTTACATGTGTTTTAGATGTGTTCAAGCTTACAGTGTATACCCAAAACAAAGTACAAGTACACAAATGTTTATGAAAGTGACCATAAAAATGTCAGGGAAAAGTTGATTTTACAACAGGTAAATCAACTTTTAGGTGCTGCTCTAGGAGAATTCCATAAACATAATTGCTTATTATATGGGCCTTTCATATTAGTTTTGCAAAGTTAGCAAGCGAGCACTAAATAGCAAAACGCATGTCAATGAGGTAGATTGGATTTGTATCTTTAGCAATGGAGGTGCTTTTGACATATTTTTGTATCAGATAAACCCTGAGCCATCCTTCTTTACTCTTCATAATGGTCTTTATGGCCCCACTTAAGGACAAATTAGAGAAAGAGAGGGATGATGTGCTAAGTATACCCCAAATAAATAACCAACCCTACAACTGCACTGATGTAAACACTATCTGTCACAGGAAGCGGAGCACGTTTAACCCAAATGCATGATACTTCACCGGAAGACTTAACAGAAATATACCTGTTATTTCAAGAAGCCAGCGCAGAACAAGGCAAGACAAGGCAAAACCAAACAGAACTTTCTGAGGGACTACATGCAAGGATATGAAAAGGACTAACAAGGACCAGGAACTAAAAACTATCAGAAGAGACAGCTGGAGAGGGCAGGCAATAACACAGGTGGGAAAACACAAGACCAGACCTATAGACAAAAGACAAGGAGAATAAAACAATAGGGAAACACTATGACAGATTATGACACTATCAGTCTCTTAAACTAAACCATTTGCAACTCAGACGGCTATATTTTTCAGTTTTTCAGCTGCTCTAAATCAAAAAACCGAAGTAAGCTAACTGAAATGTTAGTGAAACCATAAATCAGTAGCCAAGATCTAAACTGATAAACTGGGCTCATGCTTACAGATGTAGCACTCTAGAATGGACTCCACCCAACGGATTCCAGCCGAAAACCCATCGGATCCCAGTGGCTGGAAATGTAAAGCCCTCCCACTATTTCCTGAGAGGGCGTTGCCAGATTTTCAATTTCAGGATTTAACCATGAGATGGCGCTTCATTCACAAATACACAAAGACATGGGTGAACTTTGTTCTTCAGTTTGTTTCATGGACTTTCAATACTTCAGTAATGTTTGCAGCTCTGCAGTTGTGTTTGCTGAAGAGCATTTAAACAAATATTTGTTATGGTTTTCACAGGCTGGATTCCATGGAATATAACAAAAAGTGTATCTCAAGCCGGTTTCTCAAACGTACCTATCCCACCTTTAATTGTAATTCAATAATATATAGTCTTTATATATTAAATAATCATAATAATAATGTAAATGTTTACACTTCTTTGTTTTGTATGCTCATACTTTTACCTTACAATAGTTTGCTTTAATATGCAGTATAATTGTTGTTATATTGTTGTGATGTTTTTACACAGTACAGTAGATCGAAGTAAATCAACTTATACATTAAGATAAGATAAGATTTACCTTTATTAATCCCCGTGGGGAAATTCAGTTGTTCAAACAGCAACAGGGTGAGAGTGAAAAACAGGACAGCACAGATTCACACAGATTAATAAAATCAAAAATAATAGTAATGACAAACTATGAAATAAGAAATGAATAAAATTAAAATTAAATTATCATATCATATATTATAATGTATTGTATTATTAAGTAATATCATACATTAACCCCATTATACCAGATGCCACATTGAATGGATGAACACATTTATGCATCAATAATTACAAC